ATACCAACGAAATCGTCGGACCGCATGGGAACTAAATCGAGTGCAATGCAAAAATAATTTTTAATAATTAATTTTCATCTAACGAACATAAAAAAATACAATCGAATTCAGAAACTCCTCTATTTGTTTGGAAAAAACAATTAAAGATCTTTTCACAATTTTACGTTTCATTTGAAAGCGGAATACTGGTACATGCTATCTGACCTGATCATTTAACATATATATCTTATAAAAAGAAATATTGTTTGTAATAAAAAAAAGCAATTGAGATTTTATGACTACTGCATCGCGTGCAATAAGAATCGATTTTCTACTAGCAATGATGACAATATTTTCCAGGTATTGAGTTACAATTTCTCGACGCAGCGTTTTGAGATACCGGATATGAGCTTCACGGTACTCTTTAAGAGGGAGTGCTGTTAAGTTCTCGCATTAAAGCGCTTCCGACATCGTTCATTCTTAAAATGACTACAAGATTGAAATACTTAGAACCGTCTATGTTATTTAAATACAGCTTTAAGGGTAAGTTAAGAGTAAGTTTAAGGTATTTTTAAATCTTCTTGTCTTATATATAAAAATGGATTGCTGTTCGTTAGTCTCGCTAAAACTCGAGAACGCCTGGACCGATTTGGCTAATTTTGGTTTTGAAATATTTGTGGCAGTCCAGGGAAGGTTTAAACGATGAGAAATTATGGAAAAATTGCATGGAAAATCGAAATAGCAAGGATTTTATTTTCCCATACAAACTGTTCCTACCTGTCAAACATTTTATGGGTGCGTTCCGAAATTATTTTTCTATGTGTTCAGATTCACAAATTCCCTAGAAATAATTTATATGGCAAAACAAGGTTTGCCGAGTCAGCTAGTTATAATTAAAAATGTTAAGCACAGATTAGGAGTATAACGTAGTACCTACAATGGTAATGTCGTTCGTTGTGACGTTCTAAGAGGGAGCCTATGTTCAACATTGGACGTCTTGCGGCTGATGATGGTGATAACGCAGTTGAGTTAAGACCTTGCAGTGGCGCTTCCTGCTATTGGTTCGATTCCCGCACGATACAGAATTTATTTCATACTGTAATGCACTTTGAAAAATATTTTTAACTAACGTAAATATTTTTTATAAATATTAACCTTTCACGTTTTTCTTCAACAGTTGGGCTTCGCTGCAAGTCTTCGCTGTGGCACCAATGGTAAGGTCCGTCCGGGGAAGTACCACGACCTCTCAGCGAATCGGTGTGAGGCTGACGCGTTACACTTCTGCGTTTCGTCTGGTGAGTCAGGTATCCGGGGCCCACATATGCTCCCCATATACACAATCCGCTGTTATCGCCAGTTGCATAGTCATACTTCGCCAATACTCAAAAACTGCCCATTCATAAGCACGCCTACTATATTGATTTTCTAACGGCTTAGTTATATTTTTATGGCATATGGCATTTTAAGGCATTTATGCGACTTTCAGACAGCCAGTGACGGATTATGTTCGATTGAAGAAAATACAATATATTTAAATGCAATAATATATTTAAATCTGTTTCAAAAAAATGCTTTCTCTATATACAAACTGATTGTTAGTAAATTTGTAGTTTAAAATTACTTAACGTGTCACACTTTTATAAACTACGCATACATATACCATTCAAAACATTAATTTATTTTATTATAACCATCGCGTTTTCCTTTTCACGGAAAACATAAATTAATCTCATGTTGTTATAACTTTAATCGAACAATTCTTGTGTAAAAAATGTTTCGTATATCTCGGAAAGTGTTTTAAGGATTTGGATAAAATTTTATAAAAAATCTTAGCGCAATCATCTCAAAGTTGCCAGCTGCAATTGTTTATAATTGTCGCCTTATAATAGGGCTTATCCTGAGTGCAAACACAGTTCCCCTCTAGGATTTTCTTATGTCACATACAAGGGTACACTAAAGGACAGTCTTTGAGCATCGTTGAAAGCGTGCGAAAACGCTGCAGTCGATTTCGCATGCTTTCGCATTTTTATATGAGAAACTTATTTGTACGCCACAGGCGCCGTTATCAATGATGCTGTTTGATTCGATTAAGTGCCGACTAACAGTGCTGGGTATTGAGGGAAACATTGTCATTGGAACAAACACAAGCTTGTAACACCAGTTACTAGACTAAATAGAGTAGTAACTCGTAAATGAAAATCTCAGTAAATGTGCAAAGCCTGCCTATTAAGAGGTTTAAGAAATTTATTAAAGAAAATCTTTATATAAGAGTTATTATAATATAAATGATATAATACATTATGATAATAGCCCCTGGGAATGAGTTGATCGCTCCCAAGCTATTTCTAAAAGAAAAAAAAAATCAGTTGTATAATATTTAATTTTTATAAGAAAAAAAAATTACATAAAAGAGGATACCTACGGAGTTTCTTTCGCCTGTTTCTTCTCCGTTAGAGGAACCTCATTACGAAACGGTGGTAGATTAAAAAAAATGACTATCGATAGATGAATTGTATGTTTCTTATGTCGATGAGTAATTTTTTTGATTTTTGTGAAATGTAAATATTCTTAAAATATTAACATTTAAAAACAAAGCTTTATATTATACACCGAAACGACCATGCGACTCTAGTGGTACTGATTATTCAAACCATATGTATAACTCAATTGCATTTACATTTTAGAAAATGCATCAGAAAAAGTTACTATAATTACAATTTTTTTTATAGTGCTAATCTCTGCACTTAAGATTGAACATGAAAATTTCTAAGAAGCAATGGCGACATCTCTCGTTCGAATTATCGTTGTAAAACGATATTCGAAATTGTTTGTATGCTGGAAAGGATATAACAATGGATGCGCCAAGCATTGCTTCAAATGCTAAAAAACAATGTAGATAAAAGATGTTAAGATTTTCGACGGTGTGGCTATCAGCCGTTTAGCTCAGTGGCTAGAACGTCAGGCCGCGAATGCCGAAGACGTGGGTTCGATTCCTACAGCGGCGACAATCTTTTCGTACTTTTTCTACAAATTTTAATACTATAAATACGTCATACATATTAAATTCCCTCATTTCGCAAGCAACTGAACACCAACGGAACGTGTCTAATGTAAACATGTCTTTATGAATAGCATATACAAATTTTTCAATTTACTTAGTTTTTGTTTTTATGATGATAAATATTAGATTTTTTGATGATGTAAGGCGGCACTGTCTCACAAATAAAACGTACAAGTTGTAATTATTTTTGTTCATGTATTTATTTTGTATTAACGGAGCAAAATGCTTTCTAGTAAGTGTGGTTTTGTTTAATTATAAATTTGCAGCTAAACAAACATCGTACTATATTGTTACGATTACGGGGTTGAATTTTAAATGTCAACGAGCCGCTTTGACAGTTCGGAATGACGTAGTTGATTTTATTTTAAACTATTAGTGTAGAGTGAAAGAAGGTTCGTATTCCAAAAATTTCTATAAAGGATTCGAGAGCGTTCTATTATATATAGAAATAAATGAAAATCGTTTCTAGAATGTTTTAGCCGCAAACACTACAAAAGGGTCCCAGAACGCGCTCTACGGGCAGTTCAGTGAAGAAGAAACAATAGTAAGAGAAAAGGAAAAGAGAACTGAAAGTTAAGGTAACCTGGCAAGATTAACCTGGTAAGTCGACAGCGTAGTGAATAGGGAATTGAATTGATCAGTGGTGTAAAGGCGTACGAGGCGGATTGATATGGTAACGTGTGGCCACCTCACTCACCAGACGAAATGTGAAAGTATTATACTTACATTTTACGTCGGTCTTCTGTGAGGTCGTGTTACTTACCAGGACGAGCCTGCCTATTCGTGCAGCAGCCGAGGCTGCTGCGTGGCCCTACCACAGTGGTATGACAACGGGAGGGCATCACACCCCCAGATGTATCACTGTAAGATTGCTGCTCTTCTTCTTTCTTCTCAGAGGCAATGAGTAATCCTCACTGAGCTGCACGTAGCAAATAAAGTGAACATTTAAACGAGCGGCATTTTAGTCCAATCGCCAACACCTAGCCCGCAACAATATTAATGCATTTGCATGCTTAATACAAAAAATCAGTAATTTAGACAACCGCTTGAATATGCTGATATCTTCAAATGAAGTGGTTGGTGACTGAAATGTATGTGTATATGATTTTGAGAAGAAATTGGAAATAGAAATGCGAAATTTCGATATTGATATCCTTCGATAAACGAAGAGAATCAAGCTAGTTTCTAGGCTTTCACCGCCCCTATTATTTAACCGAAGCCCTTTATATTTTACAATTATGATTTGCCGACATTCATTCGACTTTTAGATAGCAAAACATTATCTTCACGCTCCAGGTCTAGACGACGTTATTTGATACGTGTCACAACTAACAATATACCCAATGACACATTCTTTTCGGAATAATAACATCACACTACTGACGTCTGACGTTTAGAGGCATATAACTAAATTAATTAGTCTGTTACTAATTGAGCTGAGGTGTGTGTAAAGATGGTGTACAGCTCCCATCGTTACAAGTTAATTAAAATATGACTGTTACTAAGGCACGATTAAAAAGTCTAATAGAATGGCTATACCAGATTAATGTTTATTTGTTTTAATTCTGGAGGGAAGTCCCCAATTTCATCATCCATTTGATTATAGTAGTAAGTATACGTTTATGTATCAGATTTCGAGAAGAAAAGAATAAAAATATCATCATTGAAATATCATCGAATTCGTAAGAGGCTTATTATTTATTAAACATTCGTATCTTATATAGTCTAGTAGCTTATTGCTAAGTAAATTAATGCTGTTCACAGAAATTTACCTTATCCTTAAGGAACACTGATTTAGCCAAGGCTTAAATGTCTGATACAATTATATTTACCATAGCACAGTTATGATTTAAAAATAGTTTTTCGCTGTGAACTGACTACACCTAGTTTACCATTTCCTACGCTAATTTAACATTAAGTTTTTAAAACTCATGATCGACGTTTTCTTTTCTAGTGGCTATGAAGTCTTTTGGAGCGGCGTCAAATACTCAATTCCTTTCGCCTCCATTTCTTTACTCTTGAAATATCCCTCAATTTCCTGCAGTGTTTTGTCCTTCGTCTCCGGTAGGAAAACGTATAGCAGAACCGTACAAATTCCAGAAGAGAGGCCGTAAAACAGGAATGCACCGTGTATTCCCAACGTCCTGAATATCAAGGGGGCGATCTTCAAGAAAGACGTGCTGAAAATCTCGCTCACGAAAGCCGTTATGAGAAATGAGGCCGTCTTGAACCTTAACGGTATGATCTCGCCATATATCGAAGTGGTCATTATCATGGGACCGCAACTGATTGGCACTGAGAACGCAATCAGCAGTGCAATCGAAACAATCTTCCTCTCCTCAATAACGGACAGTTTAATCAGATACAAATACAGGGCGATGATGAACAGAGAGGTGATGCCTATACACGACGAACCTATGTATAAAGTCCGTCTCCTAAGAACCTTCGATAGGGAGCAACCTACGTACATCCCCAGAACCGTGACTCCATCAAGAATCAGCATTCCCGTGTACGCTGTACCCTCGTTTTTCGTGATCTTCTTTATTATATCTATAGCGTACATACTGCACACATATTTCCCCGACAGGTGGTACTGCGTGACCATTAGGACGGACAGCAAAACGGGTTTGTAGAACTCGCCACATTTTGTTATTTGCAAAACTTTGTAAAACGTCCACTGCCGTCGCGAATCACGACTCTTATCGTATTCGACTTGCGAAGCGATCAGGTTCTCAACTTCCAGGGACGACTGCTCGTCGTCGCCGTGGAGCCAACGGTGCGAGCGTCTGCACTCGTCAAACCGGCCTCTCGTTGCGAGCCAGTACGGTGACTCCGGCCAGAACAGGCTAAGTAGACAGTACACGCTGCAGACGATCCCGCACACCGGTATATACTTCCAGTGGAAGAATGTACCGATAGAATTGGACATCCAAACACCCCAGAAGAACGTGGCTGACTTGATAGTGAGGAACACGCCTCGGTACCTCGCAGATGTGTATTCGGTGATGATGATGATAGACACGGTAACGTTTGCGGCGTGGTTGAGGCCTTGCATTATCTCGCTGAGCAGTATCTGCAGCGGTGTAACGCTGTGGTACAGCGCAATGAACACACCCAGGATGTTCACGCACACTATCAGATACGGGATCTTCCTTCCAAAGCGCCTGATGGTCAACGGTATAATGAAGGTCCAAGGGATCGCGGCGAAACCAAAAACGGAACCTGAAACAATTTAGTAATTATTTCAAACCGATACTGAGTGACATTGATATGATAGATAAAATTCTTACTACCTAACCTGCAATTACTGTAGAAGCAGAGGGCCTCCTCCTACTAGGAAAACCTTCTTGAAATATTCACCGAAATAGGTTCAAAATAGTAACTCACATACATTATTTTAATGAAAAAGAAACAAACGAGCAGGTGGGCCACCTGATGGTTAATGTTGACCGCCGCCCATGGACACTCGCAACACTAGAAGAGTCACAAATATTAATACAGTACTTGACCAAGGCGTCCTCTGTAGAGCTGTCACTATCTAATTTAACTAATTGCACATTTCATGTGCTGACGATGGACATGGGGGCCAGTCATTAATCAAAAGACTATCGCCAGATTGTGAATTATCCTTTGACGACCCGAATGGCGTAGTGGGTAGTGTACCTGCCTCCTGCGCCATAGGGTGTGGCTTCGATCCCCACTACTGGAAAAATATTGTCTGATGAACATAGTGTTTTTCTAGTGTCTGGGTATATATGTATAATATGTATTTATTTACAAATGAAAAGTACGTTTAAGTATGTCTATCAGTTTTCTAGTACCCATAGTACAAGCGTTACTTAGTTTGTGATTAGAAAATGTTGTGTAAAAATGTGTCCTAAAATATAAATATAAATCGTTGGACTAATTAGTTGGACAAATTAGTACATATAAAACAAGGATATAGCCTTCAGAAATATTAATAAAATATAACGACTCACAAAGCCAGGATCCCATTTCCTCGTCTACGGCCAGCGTGCTATTCGCTTCCCTCCGTATCTGAGGTATAAGCACTGTGGGGGCACCGAAGCAAAGACCGCACACGAAATAGTGCACCCATATTATACTGCAGACAAGCAACTGGAAATTAAAAGAAGAATGGTTTGAATTTATTGAACACTATTCAAAACAAAGGGTTGAAACTATTTTAACATCAAAGTGTTCGATAGTGAATACAAAAAAAAAGTCCCTAAATCTTGTCGTTATATAAACAGCAAGATAGGCGAACAGCTGTCAATATTTCTACAGAACTTAATGAGTGCCATAAGGTTATGTCACAAGGTTATTGCCATAAGGTTATGTCATAAGGTTATTGCCATAAGGTTATTGTGGTAAGTGGAAATTCAGATTCGATCGCATCCACGATACGCAAATTGGTGTAAAATCAGCGACCTGTAATTAGGTGTTACCATTGACATCCACTAGGCCACAGCTAATTACAAAAAATTTGTCGGTCGCTAAGCTCAGTTGGTAAAGCGACTGGGCGCGAAACCGGATTTCACGGGTTCGAATCCCGCAGCGATGAAATTTTTTGTTCATTCATCTACAAATATTCAAAATTTAAAATAACACTTAAAATTAAAGTGCACGATATGTTATAATTTGTTCTCTTCTACTGCCCATATCCTACATTATATGCCTATAGATGGTTTCAGTCATACCTCTCAAAGTCTCAAATAGGAATCAAATAGTAGAAATTAAATATAATGATACCGAAAAGAGTTCCCTGCAATCTCAGATTCAACAGCTTATGTAAGCTGTTGAATCTGAGTTTGCAGGGAGCCCTATTCTATTCGGTCTTAAGATGTTTATCATTCTATGATATACGTTAACGATCTACCAAACCTATTTAAAGTAATAAATATCGATGATACCAATAATACCGACTATAAATTGGTGACTCCATGGCGCAGTTGCCGAGATATCGGCTTCGGCGTCGGGGATCGTGGGTTCGATTCCCACACGGGACGACTATTTGTGTGACCCACAGATAGTTGTTTCGCATCTGGGTGTTTGTTGCGTAAAAATTTATGTTTATAAAACGTCCTTACAACACAGGATAATGCTATCCTAAAGTAAGGGCATTGTTTTTAAAAAAAAACTATTGCATACAACACCTTATAAACTATTACTAATTGTGTCGGAGACCATAACCTATGGGTAATACTAATTGTGTCGGAGACCATAACCTATGGGTAAATTGTGAGAAAAGTGTAATTATGCAATTTGTAAAATAATAATGATTGAATCTCAATTATTAGTATTTTTAAATGTCGATTCAAATGTAAACTGTAAAATACGTGTTGATTATTTAAAAATAATTTATGTAAATTCACGTGTGTTCTCTTCCAAATTAAATAAAACACAGATACCTACTCGTACTTTCACCGCGTTATCAGCTTGCTTGCATATATAATAATACTAGCGGTAGGTCCACGTAATAGCATTTACTGTTACGTGGACCTGGTGGCAACGGATCTGAAACTCTATGGGTGTTACAATGTCCGTGGGCGGTGAACATCACTTAACCTCAGGTGAACCGCCAGCTTCTTTGTCACCTTTTCACGTGTACCCTTATTTCAAGCAAATATTAACTTTATCTGCTTATACATAGAGGGTGTGAAACTAGAGGAAGACTGAGAAATATTTGGATGGACTGTGTGCAGAATGATATATATCAATGAGATGACGGCTGATAGAGGGAAGAAGAAAAGGGTGTGTTGTGCCGACCCAACCTATAACATATATATATGGGATAAGGGCAGGAGAAAGAAAAAGAAGATGTTTAGACGTAAAAGATTTGTGTCTTTTTTTATAAAAACATTAAAGATAGCATAAACACACCTCATTAGAGTAAATTATATTTATTATATACACGTACAAAAACGTTAAACATATGCCCATACTTACATGGCAATTAAAATATATAATAAATTATACAAATAAATTAAAAATCTTATCAGAATACCTTAGTTTCTATCTAAAATAAAATGTTAAATACAAAAAAAATACTCTGTAAAAGAATATTTTGATCAATAAGAACAGAGATGTATGAATTGTGTAAATATTATAACATGTGTTTAATGACGTATTCATAAATTTACATTTGTTGATTATTATTTATATTGATTGATATTATCATCGATTTAATTAGTATTTAAGTGAACGCTGTCCTATAAAAATTACAGTGCCTAGAAAGGGCATTTAAGTTTATAAAGGCTTCTTTATTGTAACGTTTATTAGCAAATTATTGAATTTATAATATTACTAAGAGAGTATTTATAATTGAATACATTGGTGGAGCTCGCCAACCTGACGTCAACTTTCCTTTGGCATAAATACTCAGACCCGGGACAACTATCTGTGGCTCACAAAAGTCTTGCCTCGTGTGGGATCGAACCCACGACCCTCGGCACCGATGCCAATAGCTTAACAACTGCTCCACCGGGTCGTGATAATATGTTAAAGATTATGAACATTAATTTGTCAATAAAAGGCCAAACGTAGGAAAACCGTGCGAAACTACACGTGAACGTCTCAGTTTTAGATAATATCAAGGCCATTGAAACCAGTCCAAGCGATGTTTATTTATTAAGTGATTTTTAATAACCGCAATATTTCAGATAGAAATGCAAATTCGCCAATCGTAAAGGTCCTCGACTATAACGGTGGCATACCGCAAACAGTGCCCGTGGAAAATTTAAATGAACCGCGCCAGCGTATTACAAACTTGCAGGAATGTGCATATATCCATTTCAGCAGTTACTGATAGAGTCTCTCTTGTTGTTTTTTATACAGTAAACGGCAAACTGTACGCACATTTTAACGCGTTTTATAAGGGCTTAAAGATGAACAAAAATATCGTTGTCTCGCCATGATCAAACAGGACATATTTTAATGCGAATAAATATCTTGTTGTTTTAAAAGAAATTTAAATTCGATTATCTTCATTCATTATAGAAGCGTAACACTTACTTAATGATTGTCAAAATACCAATATTCAATTAAGAACTAGGTATTACCTGTCTCATAAAATATATCTTCCGAACTTTCCCGACTCTCTCATCCGGGCGGTCTTTGCTAGCCTCGTCATATTTGCACATCACTAATATAAACAACTTTTAAATGTTCAGCAGTCATTCACATGTGCACACGCCCGCATGAGCAAAATGGAACTGGCATAAACAAAACCACGCGGCAGTGCTCGTATAAAAAAAAAACTCGCCAAGTTTGTTTTGTTCGAGTAGGGTTATCAATTTAATTTGTACCAAGAACATGGAAAATGTAAGTGTGAATGTGTTCGTTTGAGTGTCCAATCTATTGTTTTCTTGATTTTACGCGAATATTATACATATTAGATGAAACTAGTTTACGGATTTTATCGCGTTTTATATTTTGATTTGAACTCCCGACGTTTCGAACCCTTTTCAGCGTTCATGGTCACGGGACAGACTAAGTTGTTATACGTCTTGATATCATAGTGAACCCTGGCTACCGTTAATTATTTTGTTTATTTTTATTCCGATCCACGCAGAAGGAGCTTATGGTCTTGCAGGGTTGGTGTGCTTGGATTTAATTTCATAAATTATGGGATCCCAAGCAGATGATAAACTCCAACCATCTAATCTATTGAAATTAGGATGTTTCTTTATTTCAATAGCCGCGCGGATCATCCTTGGAAGGAATCGGTGTTCTTTAGCGAGGATTTTCGGTTGGTCAAATTTAATGTAGTGGTTGGGGTGGTAAAATATGATCACAAACTGCAATGCAGTGTCAAATCTGTTGAATTCTTCTTCTTCTTTGTTGTACACAAAAAAAAATGATAAACTAGGTTTAGATCTAAAAGAAAATTAAAATAATCAATTTCTGATTGGATTAAAGCGCTAGACGATGCTTAGAAAACATTTCTATAATTATTCTGATTAAAAAAAATACCTGTCCAAATATCCGCTGCTAGTCATAGGCCTCTTTGTATAGAGGGTAATAGGGCATAGTCCACATCGCAGCCCCACTGTGGATTGGCGGACTTCACATAAACTTCGAAATATTTTTTTCTATTATTATTTCGAAAACACGCAGCTTTCCTCACGTTTTCCTTTGCCGCTGAGCACGGTTATTTATTAAACGCAAAAGTGTGTTTATCGGTTTGTCCTCTTTTCAAGCAGCAACGAAGCAACGAATCAGACTACATATATTAATGCCAGTGAGATTGAGTTAATGGGGTCGAATACGCACAACATACTTTTAGACCATCAAACGCACCTTATTTGTGAATATAGTTCATATAGAGTTTGAGAGCAAAACAAGACCCTTTATTTACCGCGAAATATACACGAGGCATATCGCGGGCATAATATTCTTATCTTTACATTACTTGATGAAATAGCTACGCAAAACAAATATGATTAACTAGGTGCTGCCCGCGTACGTCTGCTTACAAGGCTGAAGGCGTAACATTCGGACAGAAAGAGAGATATACGTAAAATATGTATACAAATTATAGCCAATGTCTTATTCTGATGTATAAGCTATATTATTGTAAAGTTTCATTAAAATCCATGCAGTAGTATTTGCGTGAAATAGTAACAAACATCCATCCATATAAACAAACTTTCGCCTTTATAATATTAGTAAGGATTGTTAGCTCTATAATTTGTATTTGAAATGATAACACGCACATAATTCACAACCTTAAGAGGCGGTTGTTCGTGAAATAAACTTGATACACATTGAATAACAGTCTTGTACATTATATTCACAAGGAAAAGTAGTATCATAAGATTATAGTTTTTCAATCTTTGTACGCACCAAAAGTGGAGGAAAGCGTCCAAAGAATAGTATAATTGTCCGAGAATAGATGGGAATATTTGCATAAAAGCAAATGTGACCTACAGGCTCAGAAGTCGCAGAACCCCGTTATTAAAGGCCCAGCACTTGATAAGCTTCATCACTGTTACGGTGTTAGGGCCATACTGCAGCCTCGGCTGTTGCACGAATGGGCAAACCGTCCAGGTAAGTACCACGACCCCATAGAAGACCGCGGCGTAAAGTGTAAAAAATACTTTCGCGTTTCTTCTGGTGAATGAGGTGGCCGGAGCCCAATTTTAAAAAGGTTGTCAACGCATCCGGAACCCTCGGGTGTAGCAGATGTCCGTGGGCGGCGGTATTAACTTAACATCAGGTGAACCGTCTGCCCGTTTGGCAACTTTTAACGTAAAAAAATTGCCATAAACTGAGACTGGGTTACCGTCATGGCTTGGCCGTGGCTTGGTCTCCTACGACGAAGCCAGCAATCCACACTGGACCGGCCTGTAGTGTAAGGCCAACCCGATAGGGCCCTATCCTAAGTGAACGCGAGAACGGGTTGGCACCGTTATAACGCAGCTGCATGGAAGCCGAGACATATTACTCATGTTTAAATGTTTTTATTATTATTAAAAAGTTATGGGTGTATTAGCCGTGATAGCTCAGTGTCCGGGCGCTCGCCTTTAATTCAATATACTAGAGCAACCTGAGTTCGATCCCCGGTGCCGGCACCAATGAAGTTTTTAACTTTAAGTGCTGTCTTATCACGTGCTCCGCGGTGAAGGAAAACATCGTGAGGAAACCTGCATATTTTCGAAATAATTACAAAAAAAAAAAAAAATTCGAAGATATGTGAAGTCCGCCAATCCGCAGTGGGGCCGCGTGGTGGACTATGCCCTGATACCCTCTATATAGAGGAGGCCTTTGCCCAGCAGTGGGACATGTATAGGCTGTTACTTTACTTTACTTTTTATGGGTGTATTTATGTACGCACTTCAAAATTGTAGTTCTATAGCGTATGAAAAGAAAAATAACAAATATATTTTCATCCCCCGTGCAAGTACTATTTCTTTCTGTTCAAAGAAACATTAAATGCAATTGGTAACGGTTTATTTAAATAAGTTTGAATTATTAAAACTTTCGTGAGACATTATTAATGTAATATTAAGACGGCTGAGTTCAGCCGTCTTAATTTATTAAAATTACAAATTTGAATTATAGATAAATGTCAAAGGGTTACTGGTTGCCATTATTACCAGAAAGATATTTTGCTTTGGGATCAACTTCATCATGCCGCTATTTGAGGGTAAGTGTGCGCGCGAATCGTAAAAATTTTAGTCTCATACTTTTTTCCAAGTGAAGTATAACTTCAAAAAAAAAAAAAAGACCCGTTGAGTTCCATTGGCCGGTTCTTCTTGGGTCAGTGGCTGTTCTTTTCACGAACCGGTATAAACAGAATTTTGTCACAATCAATAAGTGTAATGCTTCTATGTTATACAAGGGCTCCTCTGTAAACTAACCTCGTAACTTACCTGTCAATGTATGAAAAAAAAAAACAGAGAATATTTTATGCTTAACAATTACTATTTCAATACAGGATACATCCTTATAAAGGCGCTCTGGATATGGAGGCTTGTTGATAGTGTCGACGTCGACTAAGTCCCGTAATTAAGTTGGTGAATGATGCGAGAGGCCTGTAGCGATTTAACATAACCCCTTAACTGCGTGCGTGAGCGTAGAACCCATACAAGCGTGAGTTGTAGGTATATGATTAGTCGGATACAGTTTGAATTGTGTTGCTGTTGTGATGATTTGTGATTATGATTGAAGGTGGTGCGTTTCTTTGGAATTCCATCACAAACAAACGCAACACCAACAAACGCATAAGCTTATACACTGTACACAAAAGGGGCAGAACTACAAATACAACATAAATATTAAATAAATTAACCGTTAGGCTAAATTAAAACCAATGTCAACGCTCTGCTATCTAAATATGCGAAGGCAGAAGAAGGTACAAATTTAATCGCGAAAACACCAGTTTCACCGGTTTTAGAGCCAAGGCGGCGATCAAATGTCAAAGTTTACTAAGAAGTCTTAAATTCATTCGATAATGCGATGTGGGGGACGACGCGCTTATAATTGACAACCATTTGACGCAGTTGTTAAGCCTTCGTATCCCCCTTCGCAGGTTCGATTGTCACACGGACTAAGTTATACGACCTACAGCTGGAATACACCCCACATATGAATGTTTTTGGATGCTTAAGTTATTAAAAAAAATAACAAGAATGCAGAGATTCTCGCCGATTCTTCTCCGGTCAGATCTAACTAAAAAAAAATTATTTAAAAAAAATATATAAATTTTTTTTCAAAAGCTACCCCAATGAGAGGAGCCTATTACAATGTCGACGAATACATTTAGGACAAGGATATGTGGAAATTACACTTGGTCTGCACTTGCAAGTCCCCAACCTACTGTTAATTTTATTAATAAACTATCTGTGCCCCCGATGTCGTCTGCGTGGAATTTAAAATAAATAAAATTTCTAAAAGAAAAGTAGCCTAAGTTACTTCTTTCTATATCAGATATCTGCCTGTAAAAATCCCGTCACAATCGGTCCAGCCGATTCAGTGATTAGCCGGAACAAACAGACAGACAGACAGACAAAAATTGTAAAAATGTTATTTTCATATATGTACCGTGTATACATCCATATTATTTAGTAAACAGCGGTTATTTAAATCTTACAAACAGACACTCCAATTTTATTTATCTGTATAGGTTGGTAGCTTGACTATTTATTTACATTATGATTATTAGCAATTAAATGCGACATTTTAAAATCTATACAATTATTTCAGATGTAAAAATACATTCTCAAAATATTTTAATCATATCATTTTATAATATTTAACTCGAGACTAGATTTTATAATATATGCTAACACGAATTCCACGAAGGTTAGTAAACAAGCCTCACTATTTGAAAAAAAAAAGACTGAATCAACAGCCGTTATGAATAGTCAATTGAGTTTTGAAATATAGATGATTTTTTTCCACGACTTTAGGCATTTAATTCGAAAAATTTAAAGAAATTATAATATTATGCTATTTGAACACGCTGGAGATTTCTCGAGACCTTTTTTTCAAAAGTATCCTTCCAGTAATATCACCGGTTTGGGAGGCCGCCAAGCTATTAGGGCGCTTTGGCGGACGCTCCATGGAGTGACTATTCTCAAGGGTCCCCGAGAGGTGAGCTCGGCTTGGACTGTAACTCAATACGTATTTAGCATTC